AGAGAGAGAGAGAGAGAGAGAGAGAGAGAGAGAGAGAGAGAGAGAGAGAGAGAGGAGGAGTTGTAATATATATATATATATATATATATATATGGAACATTAAATTTAGGGTGTGGTTTCTATAAGGTTGCAACCTTAAACAATCCAATTAAGGCACTCCTCCAAATTTTATTATAACATGTATTTTTGTCATAAAACATTCTTAGGATTATCTAAAAATATAATTTCATATCTAAGTATAAAATTTTAAAGCTCGAAAAATGATTAAAATCAAGTAGATCTATAAACATATGAAAATCTTGAAAATGGACGGTTTAGATAATATGTTGCAAGGTGTACTATTTCTGAGACTCAAAATCTTTTTCTTTTCCATATTCATACATCTCGATGTCGAGATGATCAATTAGAAGGTTTTTCAACTTCAAAATAACCTTTTTCGATGGATTTTTGAGGTGCATCTGTAATTCTACATTTTAAGGTTGGAACCTTATATAAACTTTTTCCTTAAATTTATTACATATTTTAGAAGTAAAATAAAATACATGTGAGCTTCTAATGATTAGTGTATATGCATGCTAGTATCTAATTTCTCAAGTTTGTGGTTTTTCAACATTAAAACAACCTTTTTCAATGGATATTTGAGGTGCATCTGTAATTCTCTATTTTAAGGTTGCAACCTTATATAAACTTTTTCCTTAAATTTATTACATATTTTAGAAGTAAAATAAAATACATGTGGGCTTTTAATGATTAGTGTATATGCATGCTAGTATCCAATTTCTCAAGTTTGAATTTCCTTCTGACATTTTTATAATTGTTTGACTTCTATAATACTCTTAAAAGATTAAATTCATCCCAGGCTGGGTCCACATAACCCATAAGTCCAGCCCTGCCCGCACCAATAACAGGGCCAGGCCACCTAGCCACTAGCAGGGATGGAGACTTCAGCTTGGTCTGGTTCCAGGCTGGGCGTGTAGGCCTAGGGCCAGGCCTGGCCCAGCCATTGCTAGGCGCGGGGGTGGAATTCCTCTGAATATGAAGATCTGATCCTATGAAAAATCACAAATGATGGGTGATGCCTATAGTTCGAGGCATATGAATGAAATGAAATAGCGGCAAGTCTAAAGGGATATTGCTTAGATGGAGAGGCCACATGATTAGGTCATGTATTCCATGGTTGTATGAGCCTTAATTTAAAAAGTCTTTGTAAATTATCTATGTGTTGCGATTATGACCCTTGATTTCTCTTGAGAGGCTTTGCATCTGAGTTGGTGCCAATAGAGGGAAGGATTACTAAATCTTAGTCTCCAGGGAAGTTCATATGGTAATCTGGGGATCATCCCTATCTGGGGTCTCGTTAAGGATGTTCTGGGTAAGACACTACTCTAGGACCGGTCAAGACTCAAACCAGAATCACTACTTTCTTTGAGACAGACGTGGTCAGATTCTGCAAGACTTGAGGTATCCAAGTCGGGATCTTCAGGAACGGGCAAGTCTGTTTAGACCTTCTTAAGTTTTTCAACACTGCTCAGATATTTTCTAGAAAAGTTTTTAAGGACCCAATTTCATTATAAGGTGGTTATTGGGTTTCTAATTATTTCACAAGCCAGAAGCTTTATTTTCTCTGGATAACAACTTAAAAACCTCATTGTGCATGGAAGAGTCTACTGAAAACCACTTATAAACAAAGGATCATTTCACAAGATTGTTTACATTGTTTAAGAAAAAAAGTTCATTTCACACAGTTCTTTCCATTATTATACTCTAAAGCAATGTTGTTGGTTCCATTGTTTTCTGTGGAACCGGAAGATTTGGATGCAGTTTTATGGCTCTTGTTTCTGTGCAGTTATTTGGATGGTTATGGACTGCTTTGTCTTTAAAATGCATTTTGACTTGAATAACAAAACCTCCTGTGGGACATTAATTAAGTTCACATAAAACTGATGAGCCAACTATGGATCTGATCTATTTCAATGTTATATCGCAGAATCTTGAT